TCATTTATAATACTTTCCTCTGAATTAATAATCTCCTTCCCAGCTTCTCCAGTGCAATAGGAATACTTAAAAAAAGAGTGACAGCATTTGTATCCCCATCGGCCTTCTTTCCAGTAAGATCCCCAGATATGTGTGTGATTGTGGATCTTCACATCCTCCTCAAACCAATATCCTGCATTCTTATTTCCTCTATGTATGCTACAATTATAGGGCAATTGCTCTTGCTTTGATGCCTCAGGTCTGGGTTTGTTGAATTTTTATTTTCATTCAAAAGAATTTCTCTGAACAGTAACATGACATTGGTCCTCTCAAGTTTATTAAACCTTGCTGCTGTTTATAGTCAGGCTGTTTTCCATATAAATTATGAGGAAAAGACAGGGCTCTCCAGTTATTTAGTGTTGATTTTAGAACCCTATGTCTAACTTTACGTCTCTTTCCTTCCTTTCTTTCCTTTCCTTTTATTGTGATTATCCAACCTGGCAACCAAAGCAAATCATATCCTGATTAGAGTTAACAGGGCAGGCATCAGCTGGGTCTCACTGCCACACACTGGGTGATCGAGATCAAGGGTGTGAAATGTACATCTTAGGAGGGTAGTTGCCAACTTGAGAAATGGCCCCAAATCAAAAGGCACCAGAAACTGATGCAAAATGGGGAGAAAAGAAAAAAACAAAGTCACATTTCTGGGAAAACCTGGAAAGTCACATTCTGGAACAAACTATGCTCAGAGACATATCTAGCCCTTGCTGAGGTTGGTTTCTCTTTAGGACATGGCCTCTTCCCACGTCTTCACCTATAATTACCATTTTTCAAATCATCACTCAGGTATTATCTCCTCCAGGAAGCTCTCTTGACTCTCCTTGGCTTCACTCATCCTTCCTCTCTCTGAAATCCTATGGCATTTATACTTGACTCATACAACCTTGTTTGTTACCATATATTCTTTTACATGCTTGTTGGACTCTTTTTCCAACTGGATTTTAGGCTCCTTAAGGAACCTAGAAACCCAGTAGCAGTTCAAGAAACACTTGAATGATTCTCTGATTTTCGTACACTTTGGATGGGAAATAAGAGAATTTTAAAGTATTTATTTAAAAGGAGACAATCTTCATGAAAAGTTGTTTAGGGTCTAAAATTTGCTTGCTTTATTCTCAAAAGGACAAACCTCTTTTCAATACTTCCCTTAAAGAAGCACCAGATTAGTGATTTTCTCAACCTTTGGCTAGTGGCTGGGGAAGGAAAGGGAGGCTGGTGAAGAATACAGAGGTGGATGGATTTCAATGTGCTGGTGAGAGGACTCTGGATGTCTGACCATTTTCTATAGTCATGGAGCTCAACAAAGTTTACCATTTGTATAGGAATCTTTTAGCTCTTGGATGGAAAAATCTCTTTCCCGTAAAACTTCATGGAATTTCTAATTCTGGCTGGGGCAGCAGTTATTCATTGCAGATCTTGAAAACTTGTGACACTGTTGTCCAAATGGGCACCAAATAAGGTGAGAAAAGAAAAGTCTCAACTACATATTTTAAAATTATTTTTGGTTCCAGGTGATGGACTGGGCAGGCTGTGACTGGCACTGACAAGACTAACCCTTTACTCAGACCCAGGGGACCACTTCTGATCTAAAAACCTTGTCTTCAAACCAGCTGCCCAAGACACAAGTGCAAGTCCAAGACCTGACTTCACATTCTGGATGACCACACGTTCCACCTGCATCTCTATTTTGCTCAGTGATAGTTTCAGTCCTTAATTTGAGCTTCTTTGTAGGACCTGGATGGGGATTGGAGTTTTATATCTGAATGTAGGGCCCCCTTTCTGGATGCTTTTGGCCATCATGTCTGCCTTCTTTCAATCACTTGAGCATGGCTGGGTGACAGACGTGTACTCCCAAGGACACATCTTGTCTCAGAAGAGCCTCTTTGTTATAATGGGATGCTGAATCAAGGAACCAACTCTCTGGGAAGAATTTCCAATTAGTTTAAAAATTTTGACTATCTTCCACCATAAAACAGCTAACATTACCAAGCACTTACCACCTGCTGGGCCTTTTGCCAAGTACTTTACATATATCATTTCATTTAATGTTCACAATCCTGCTAATTATTTTAGTTTTGTTGCTTAAGAAACTGAAACACAAAGGGGCTAAACAACTTGATCAAAGTAATGCAACCAGCAAACTGCAAAACTGATTCCCTGACTTTCCCACTCCTCCCCAAATCTTCTCCTCCTGCAGTCTTCCTCCAGTCTGCCGGCTGACGGCAACCCCATCCTTTCAGTGCCTTAGGCCAAAACCCTTAAGGCCATTCTTGATTCTTCTCCTCTGAAGTCCCGCATCCAACGCTTTGGGAAATGTTAGCTCTACTTTCAAAACATACCCAACTCTGATCACTTCTCTCCACCTCCATTTCCCCTTCCTGATTCAAGCCACCTGCATCTTTTGCCTGAAATACCGTCATCACCCTCCTAACTAGTCACACTGTTTCCTTCCCGGTCTCCTTGTCCCCCGCACAGGCTGAGTGATCTTCAAACATAAATCAGCCCAAGTGGCTCCTCTGCTCAAAAGCCAAAGTCCTTTCACGGCACCTCCCTGACTGCTGCTGCCGCCACGCATGCTCTTCCGGAGATGACTGCAGGCCGCCTTCCTCTTCCGTGAGCACCAGGGGTCTCTGGTCTCAGGGTTTTAGCTCTGGGTTTGGAGTGTCCCACCCTTCCCCACTCTCCACAGCCTCGTAGTTAACTTCCTCCCTATCCAGGTCTCTACCCAAATGCCACCTTCTCAGTGTATCCATTACTCCAGTTACAACTGGAACTGCTCACCCAAGTAGCACCAAACCCTCTTACTCTGCTCTATTTTTCCGATAGCCCATACTACCTTTTAACATAGTGTGTAACTTATTTATTATGTTTATTGTTCCTTGTCCCTCACCGCACAGAGCGTTTAATCTCTTGCGTCCTCCGCTGCATCGCAGGCACCCAGGGTGGTGCCTAACACACTGTGATCAACGAATATTTGTTGAATACACGAATGGAGGGACTTGGATCTCAAATCTTAGGGTCATTATAATTTTGTTGGAGACCAATACAGCATTCTCAAGGGAAAATGCAATAATGCAGCATATATTATGAGGTGGTCCTGATCAAGGGCCAAGGAAAGAGAAAACTCAGTGGCATGTGCTCAGATGAAGGAGATACAAGACGTAAGTGGAGGCTGGAGTGAGTTGGGAAGATGCAGTGGGGCTTTTCTGGGAATTCTTTTAATTTTGCAATACATTGGTAAGGACACCCTTTCTTCTTCACTTAGAGGCCTGGGATTTAAATACGTAGCCCTGTATTTGCCATATCATGGGTTTAGTCCTGAGATGTTTTCCCTTCCCACTTCCCTGCCCTTGTGGTCTCAAGGGCAGCGGCTGTTTCTCTGTGGTATGGTCAGGCATAATGAGAAATACAGATCCAAACTGCTGGATCACTCAAAAGCTGGGAGGAATCTGGAATGGAGTTATTAGATTTGGGATATTTTGATCATTTCCTGCAGGTTGGTAGGTTCCGAAAGGGTCAGTTTCCAACAGAACCGGCAGAGTACACTTGAAGAAATTCACTGCTTTTGCAATACAGTTTTGGGGTGATGTCCTACTCAGGCCTCCAGATTTGGGGGCCTGAGACATGGCCATTTCTCAGTGGTGACACTTCTCTGTGACAACCCTAGTCTCTTGCTTTGGTCAAGTAACACATTTCCATCATCTGTGCCCATTACACTGGCTTACCCTGTTTTCTAAGAAAATTGGTTTGCTCCTAACACAGGATGACAATGGGTGGTGGGAGTAGTGAGGAGAAAGTGTGTTGTCAATCATGAAGACTGGTTTCTGGTTTTTTTATGGGATAACTAATTTTTATCTTATCTGGCTTCAGTGCATGCCTGCTAGCTCTTGTTCACCTCCGATGGTATTAAGGACACAACCCCAATTACTGAGGGGTGCTAACAACATATCTTCCAAAGGCCAGCCAGGAAGTGACCATAGTAACTACCTAAGCTGACCAGCAGGCCAAACACATTAGTTTCTGGAATGAACTAATGGAAAAAGTGCATTTTGTTAAAGAAACTGGATATTCAGACAAAGATTATTTTGGAAACGCTCATGTTGGAGGCTGAAGTCTTCGCATGAACTAACTGAGTCCTGACTGCCCCCTGCCAGGCTGAGCTCTGAGACACTGACGGTGGACAGGAACAACTGCAGAGGCTAAAGGGTTCTTGGCCATAACTGCACCCAACAAGCTCCCAAGGAGGTCTTCAGACCACTGAAACTAGGGTTTATGCCAGAGATTTTGGTTCAATCAGTCTGGCATGAGGTCAGGGCACCCATCTTTTTAAAAAGCTCTCCAGGTGATTTTATGTTTAGCCAGAAATGAAAACTGCCTGACATGAAGGATCCAGAGAAGGGATATCTGAGGAGCTGGCAGAGAGAACGCAATTCCCATTCCTGCCTCACAATCCCCATCACAAGGGCCCCTGCCTCCCCTCCTGCTCCATCCGTTTTTTATTCTGTCCTGCATTATTTCCACAATCATAAACAAGCTGCATGTCTCCCACCATAAATAAGAGGCCTGCTATACACACCACATCCTCCTCCAGCCAATACCCATTTTCCTTCATCTCTTTGGAGAAAAACTCCCTAAGACATGCCACCCAATTCCTTTCTGTCCATTCTCTCTTAAACCCATTCATGCAGGCATCTACCCTGACTACTGCACAGACACAGCCCATCTTCCCATCTGGCCAGTGAGTGCAGGTCTCTTCCCCAACCACAGAAATGGGGAATCCGGAGGACCCGACACAGACATTTCTGATACACTCTGGGGCAGAGCACACCCCTGATCCGTTGCGGTGCTGGAACGAAGAACCAAAAAGCTTTCCTGGGACCTATCTGGATAAGACAGGTGCTTAAGCAATGCTGACAATGACAATGATAACGAAATTTTTAGTAAAGGGAAAGGTTATGACTTACACAGTGTGTGGTGGTGATGATGACAGAACTGGAGATGAAAGAGAGGCCATCGTTCATGCTGACCTGGAGTGCAGCTTTCCTGCAATGACAACAGGGGAACCAGAGACACTCAGCACAGTGAGCAATGAGCTAAGAGCTGCCAGACACACAGGTCTCCTTTGGGCCCTGTTCTTAACTACCCGTGGGACTGCAGTCTCTTCACCTGGGCAGTCTGAGTTCCTCCTTTGTAAAGTGTGGAGGATGGTCTCTATGGCCCATCCTCCGCCCATCCCATAGCATTTTTAGAGAGACGCCAAGACAGACCTTCTTGCATTGGAGCAAATGGCACTCAGTGGACACAGCCTGCTCCATTTAACTTACTTGTTGCATGGTAGTAGGACAAAGTATTCTTCAAAAATGGTCCAAGTTAATGAGGATATACTGGGCAATTTATACTGGGCAAATTATAAACTTGATATTCCACCACCATTATCTGGACTTTCAGTGATCTGGCGGGGGTGGCTTTGTTACTACCCAGCAAACTTACAGAGGCAAAGCAGTGGATGCACTAGTTTGCCTTCTACCTCCTCCCATCTGTAAGAGACTCACAGAAATGCAAGCTTACATTTTGTTGCCTTTTGTAGCATGGACACTGGTGTGGAATCAGTGGTATCACAGGCTGATGTCAGGCAACCAGAGTTGGAGTTCTTACAGTATGAACAAATGATTGAAAGCAGAATTCAGATGGATTCTAACATTTTTTTCTTAAAGCTGCCATTCTACCTCCAGCCTGTTACAGACATGACTTTACAGAGGCTGTTTTTCCTTTTGTTCCCTGCACCAACAGTACCTTTCTGATTTTCCACATATTTCTTTTTTTGCTCAGGGTGCTAATTCTCTTCCTACTGTTGAATATTTTGATCACATCTCATTAGCACTTATTATAATAGCATGAGATTCTCCCCCATAAATTAGTTCAGGGAACTTTGTCTGGTCTGGGTGAACACCCCACGCTCTGAGGAGCAGCAGAGGAAGCAGCACCGAAGGTGATGTTGGAAGATCTGAGTCTGGGGTCTTGGTTTGCCATGAACCAGCTGGGGCTCACTTGGCCTTTCTGAGCCTCTTTATCTCTAAGCAGGAGATAACAATCACCCGTTAGGGCAATAATGATGAGAGGGCAAGGGAATGTGTGTGAGAGCTTTGTAGAAGCGAAGTTGCGATTAAACCAGACAGACCTCGGGTTGAGCCCAAACTCTTCCACTTGCTGCCGTGTGACCTTGGGCAAGCTACTTAAATTCTCTCAGCCTCAGTCTTCATGTCTGTACAGTTGGGGTCGTGGGACTATCTGGCTCACCAGGAAGTTGGGAGAATGAAGTGAGAGACTCTGTAAAACACTTATCCCGGGGCCTGGCTCCCTGTAAACACTGGCCTCATCATTTCCTGGAGGAATCTAGAGACAGACTCCATTATGACAATGGAGAAAGACACTTTCTTCTCTCTTTGTCCCCTCTACCTCCTCTCTCCTCCCTGGCTATGAGGTTCGGTTGCTGGTGAAAACTTACATGCCAACTTCTTTTAAGATAGGTGCCGGACACAGCAAATAAGTATCTTCCACAGCGAAGGGCTTCTCATCTGCAAAAAGAAAGTCACTGGATTAAGAGGAGTGAGGCATGTTTACAATTTCAAATTCAGTGGCTTTTACAGAACAACAACTAAGTCCAGAGAGATATCAGAAAAACAAAGAACTTTTCGAGATAAAAACTTCCCTTGAGCAGTAAAATCTATTAGCAGTGAACTCAAGGGCTCCTGCTTGAATAGTAATGTCCTGATCCCGTATGCCCAGTTGAGCCAAGCAGTGAGCAGGTAGTCAGCGCACTCCCAGATAGAGCAGGGGACACGGGGGAAACAGGAAAATATAGACCAGTCCTAAGGAGCTTCACGTTTAAGTCTAGTTTGAGAGAGATGCCATATTTGTGGGAAAAGTCTGCTGACAAATATAAAAAGTGACTAAACCAAAATATCACTGGGCTTCAGAAGCCAGGGAGCTTCCTTTACACAGGAGATGCGGTCAGGTCACAGGAAAGAGCAGAACACGAGCTGTGCTTTTGTGGGGAGACGGGGAAGAGGCATTCCTGGTGGGAGGAATGGCATGAGGAAGGACAGGGCAAACAAAGGTATGTTCCAGGATAGAATATAAGTAGGATTTTAAAAGATCAGTGTAGAAAGAAGTTTGGCCCAAGTTCTCTGAGCCCGAGGGATTTGGACCAAGCTCTATAAGCTATGAAAAGAACTTTGGCGGGTTTCTGAGTAAACAGAAGTGATGATTTTGGAGGTCTTAGCAGATGGGGCTGTGGAAGACGGATTAGAGCAGGGGACTCTGGAGGTGGGGGAGTTCTTGCTCTTGTTCTAATGGATGACCATAACCTCAAGCTCCTTAAGAACTTCACTGTAGTTCTGGGGCCAGAGGCAGGGCTGAGAAGTTACTATACTCAGTATACAATAGTCATTCCTTCATGCTTCAACATTTGTTGGGTACACATTCTACAAAAGACTGTGGTAGGGGCTGTAAGTGAAACCAACGTGAATAACATTTGTCCCACTTGTGGCTGTGACTACAAATACCTGTAACAAGAAGATACAAAGAAATACATATATTACTGAAGGATGATATTCTGCTATTGGCCTTTGTTGTGAAACTGATGCCTCTTATGACATTTGTAAGTTGTGACCGCAGAATACAGCTTGCCTGGGTGGAGATCAGGAAGCCTGATGCCCTTCAGGCCTGCATTGATGGAGCAGAGCCACCCAGGATGGGAGTCAGAGGACACATCTGAGCACTAAGCACTGTGTCCCCAGGGGAAGGAGAAGGAAGAAGATGTTCAGGGAAAACTTTAAGTGGTGAAAAGTTAGGGAGGTTATTCCAAGTCATTTGTGTATTCATTCATTCATTCAACAAATATTTATTGAAGGCCTACTATATACTAGAGATATAGACTTTGAGACGAGAAACATCGTCCTGGCTTTCATGAATTTTATAAGAGCTGCAGGAGAGATAGTTACTCAACATTATTATAAAATACACTCTTTGAGTATCTACTATGTGTCAAGCACTGTGCCAGGGTTTGCAACGAACAAAACAGATGAAGTATCTTGCCCAAGGAGCTGACAAGCTAGTAATTACACAAATTAGTATTTAATTGTAATTGTGATGCACACACAGAAGGAGAAGGAGGGTGGCCCATGCTCATCTGGGAAGTCGGGAGATGCTTCCCTGAGGAAAGGCTATATAAATTGAAACCTGAAGGTTGGGTGAGGAGAAGGTGGGGTGGGAGAAGAGGCAGCACTGCAAAGGTCCTGGGGTAGGAAGGAGCCCAACCTTTTGAGAATTAAAAGAAGGCCAAGGAGGCTGTTGAATCTGAGACAATGGCTCAAAATAGGCTAGAAAAGGGAGCAGGACCAGATGACCAAGGCCCTGTAGGCCATGGTGCGGCTTTTGGGATTTTCCTAAAAACAACAGGGAACTACTGGAGGTTAACCTCATATTTAGAATCTGCCATTGGCAGATTATGGAATGTTGCAGGAAGGGTGAGGGTGTGTTGAATAAAATTACAAAGTCTATGACGATAGTGCAGGATCAGGCAGTGCCTGAACTAAGCATTATTATTTTCATGATGTTTTCCCATCTGAGATGATAATACAGGCAAGTCCCCAACTTTACAATGGTTAGACATATGATTTTCTGACTTTATGAAGGTGCCTTCAGCTGTGTATGTTAACAGTGAGCACCCATACACGACCATTCTGTTTTTCACTTTCAGCATAGTAGTCAATAAATTACATGAGATATTCAACCCTTTATTATAAGATAGGCTTTTTGTTAGATGATTTTGCCCAGCTGTAGGTTAATGTTAGTGTTCTGAGCACATTTAAGGTCGGCTTGATGTTCTGTAGGTTAGGTGTATTAAATACGTTTTTGACTGATGATATTTTCAACTTATGATGGGCTTATCTGGCTGTAGCCTCATCGTTTGAGTCGAGGAGCATCTGAACTGACAGCCAGGCTCATGCATGCACTCTCAAACTCTTCATGTATATCACTTAATCAAATGTAACCTCCTAGCAGAGCTTTCAAGAAGGGATAGTAGTACGTTCATTATAAACTTGAGGAACTGACAGAGAGAGATAAGTAACTTGCCCAAGGTCACCCAGGGGAGCTTGGGTCTGCACCCAGGCAGTCTGGCTGCACAGTCCATGCGCTTATCCAACAGGTTGTACCAACACCCGGTGATAAGAGCCGCACTCTGTTTCCTTCTCATGGCAACCTTGTGAACTAGGGCATGAGGCTCATTTTTCAGACACAAAATGGAGGCCCAGAGAGGCGACAGTGACCCATGATTGCACAGCAAGTCAGAGGCAAAGCTAAGACTAGAACTGAATTCTGCGTTATTCTTTCCTTGCTAAGAGACTCTCCATTTCAGGAAAGGCTTGTGTTGGAGAACAAACCGAACTTGGGACAGGCGTGGCTGACGACAGCCTGTATTTATTTCCTCAAGGCCACGGCTCACCCCGTTGCACATGCACTAGCAATACCTGAGAGTGCAGATCCCCGCCCGCAGCGCCAGCCCACAGAGCCACAGGGCAGCCGCAGAGCGGCCGCAGGAGGCCTCGTGACTCCTGGCTGCATTCTGCGGGAAGGGCTGGGTCACGCCAGCGAGGGCGTGCGAGGTAGCACACTGCAGCGCCACGGCCAGACTCCGGGGGCTGGCCCGCCCTGCTGCTGTGCTGGCCCGACCCGCTTCCGGCTGCCTCTGAACACTCTCTCCTTCCCTCCATCCCGGCTGGAAAGGAGTGAGAGGATGAGCGCGGCCCAGGTCAGGGAGACTTTTCTCGCTTTACCCCTCCTTTCATCTTCCTGTTCTGCTTGGGAGACCAGATATTTCCGGAGCGAAGCAGAGGACAGCCTCGCTGGGGAGACCGAGGAGCGCTTGCGGCGGCGGTAGGACAGGCTCGGAGTTCATCAGCCTCCCAGGCTGTGGGCCTGCTCTGTGGAGCTGGCATTTTCTGCTCCGAGAGGAATTGTTTGGTTTGGAGCCTGTTTTCACTTTACCACAAAAATGAGTGACTGTTTTTTTCTCTCTCTCTCTAAACAAAGGAGGGCCATTTGGTTTCCATAACTCAGGTCATCTGACTCCTTCCTGGAACGTCCACTGGGGAAGCGGGGCACGAAGCCCTCCTCGGCTGCTCCCCGGCTGGGCCACGTTTGGCTCGGGGGCCATGCCAGCCTCGCTGCGACCTGTGCCAACGCCAGCGCTGTCGTGACGTTTACGGGGCGTAATGCACTCGCAGGACTGCCAAGGCCCCTGCTCGTCACCTGCTGGGCGGCCATTTTGCTGCTTACCAGCACTGGCGGGGAATGGAGAGCAGGGGCTCGGGTTGGCCCCCTTGGCTCTTGTTTGCAAATGGGAAGAAAATTAGGGAAAGACAGGGATTTGAAACTATACCTTAAACAGAATTTTTAGATAACCTTGAAATATACATTTCTTTGTCCACTACCAAAGATATTTCAGAATCGTCTGCATACCCATAAAATAGGTTCACCCAAAACATTTGTCCACAGGAGTCTGATGAGCTTGATTTAACTCAGGATTTGGGGATCAATGAGTGTCACTAGGCCAAACTGTGAAGCACCCTGGACTTGGGAGCTAGGCATCCCTGAAGCTGAGTAAGAGGGCACGGAGGGGCCAAGTGGACGTCAGAGTCAAGCAGATCCAAGGGCGAATGCCAGGGCTTCCTCTTCCTAATGTGTGATCAGGGACAAGTTCTCCACGCTTAAACAGTGTGGACGACATCACTGCACAGAGTTGTGTGGGGAGTAAATAAGAGTGTATCAAAGTGCAGAGCACGATACTCGGCACTTGATAAGCACTCAGTAAATGTTATTCCACTTGAGAAAGCTTGAGGTGCTGGTTAAAAATGACTCCAGGTATAAGATAAATATCTTTAAACACAGATAATCTGAGTGGAGGTAGAATATCTGTAGCTAAATCTACCTCCCTATTACAGATTTCTTAACCGATTGTTATCCTAAGTCTTTCTTCTAAAATTAAATTTAGTGATTTCTTACATCAAGAGGTAGAGAGGAGGGACAAATGGTAAACTTATAAATTTAGAACACATTTCTCTTAGATAGATGTCTAAGTTCAGATTCTAAATTTAAATTTAGAAACTATAATTCAGAGAATGTGTGTGTGTGTGTGTGTGAATTTAGCTGTATCTTTAAACAAAGGGTTAGTGATTTCTCTCATGACTTCAATATTTAAACTTTTTTATTTCCAGAATTACTTGGAAATAAGGTAACATAATAAATATGTTACATGGACATCCACACCTCTAAAATAGGCTACGTCAAAATGTGGCTCAAAATCAGAGGGTTGAAGATTAAAATGTTCAAAATGTCTGATTGTTTGTTTATAGTGATCTACTAAATTAACATCTTTTTAGACATCAGGAATTCCTAGGAAAATACAAAGCTTTAGTGTATTTGTGTGTGACTGTATAGATACACACACATATACATACACAGATATACGTATATATACAAACACACACATACACATACTGATTTTGTCTAA